TCACACGTGAATAAGAATGTGCGTGTAGCCTGTTCGGACACAATAAATAGGGCCCGAAATAGATTTCGTAACATTTTTTGTGTGTGACATACGGTTTTTTTCGAATATATTCACTGTATTATACTGACTGGATGCGGAACACACTTCAAAGAAGGGTGTTTCACAAGCGAACGCGGAAGAACATATCCATGGGATACAGTTATCTAAATTCCAAATGCAGAACAAACAACAAGAAAACAACCAATCAAAATGACCGTTGTCGGATGAGAAACAATTTCACTCAACAAATTCACTCCAGTAATCACAAAGAGAAATAATCACGTTGAAACATACCTCTTAACAAACAAATGGGTTAATCCAAGCTTGGGAGTCTAAAATACCCTTCCGATGCTCTGGATTTTTTCAGAAACGATTGATAGACAAAAGCAGAACCACGGCAAACTTAAGAGTAACCATGGTAATTGCAGTGTATCAGTACTGGTTGAGTAAATATTATCAAGTAGAACATCATCCTGACTAGATAGAAACCACATCTGTTGGGTCTCTTACAAAATTTTAACATCTACTGTTCATTACAAATGTGATCATTATTCGCCCTAACTTCTGCGTTTAAACGATAACAGAGAGAAACCAACGATACTGCAAATTACATGATATAGTCAATATGGTAAGTAAGAAGTAAGTAAGTAAGAAAATACCCTTAAAACTCATGACCGGTAACGTAATTCTTGTTGTTACCCAACTGGTTTGTCTACCGGCACACCCTCATCGAAATTGAACACAGTAGAAGTACACATATTTCCACTAAGAGTTCGAGTAGTTATTTTTTGTTTCAAAATTTCTACCGCTCGGTGGGTTTAATGTGCCTTAACTCATGAACAAGAATGAGAGCTTTTTGCGTTGCATAGACTCGCCTGACCAGCAGACACCAAACACGTTCAGTGGGGCTCTAAATAGTGTCATCAGCGGGTCAACCAATGATCTTGATATTCAGACCACCACAGACCATCAGTATGAGCTGAACGAATGGAGACTTTGTCTTGCCCAGAAAGTCTGAACCTCTGCCGATTTTTTCTGACTCACCATGTGAAAGGGTTCGTTAGTTAGAAATTATGATGTCCCAATCTAGCGTTTGCTTGCATTCCTCAGGAGTTTTGTATACGGTTACGAAGGTAACACCCAAACCTTAGAAGAACCACCACCCGGTGTGGTCACCTTCAGTACGCCACTCGGTCAGTGATTCACTCGCAACGTACTTTCGTTTGTTGACGGTGTGATCAGCTCATACCCGAGGGTTTGGGGCGCTGATCTGTATTGTCGAAGGTCAGTGTATCAGAATGGGATTGACCAAATCTCATGTAAATACTATGGACCACACACTGAAGTTGATCACCCTGGTGGTGTGTGCCATTGTGACACCTAATCCGCCGCATGCACTGAAACATTGATTGTATTCGTGCAATTGTTACTGTGAATTAACTTTAACCTGGCTAAAGAATGGCTTGTGTGACTGCGTTGACTCTCTCCCTCTCTCTCTCGCTCTCTCGGTCGGTCACGGTCTGACTGGTTTGTATTGAACATTTTCTGTTGCTAAAAGCAGTAACCGGCAATTAGGACCGCGACGTCACGGTGAACAGTGATCAATTGTAAGTATATTTTCATACCTGAGTATTGGTTTAGGTTGATTGGTTAGTTTCCTCCNCCTGTTTATACGATTGAATTCATTTCTGTGGAACACCAATGCTAACAGGTTTACCTATGCAACGAAGTCGGAC